CCCGTCCCCTGCCTGGTCCTGCAGAGGTCATGGGTGCCGTCCTCAGAAGCCGCAGGCCCAGCTTCCCTGCCAGGCGGGGGACGCTGCTTTTGAGCATGAACCCAGGGTGGCTGGGGTGGCCGGAGCAAGTCACACACACACACACACACACACACACACACACACACACTCACACACACACAGCCCACACTGGCATGAAACAGAAAAACAACCTGCAAACTGGTTTATTTTGCTGGTTATTTGAGGGAGTTCGTAGTTAGCCACAAACCACAAACCATCACAAACAGCTGTTTTTCTGGTTCATCCCCATCTCTGATTGGACATCATTTGACAGAATGACACCAAACGGCAAACCTCCCTGGTTCCCTGTTGCTTCCTGTGGGGCCGTAACATAGGAAGTCCACCCTGAAGCTTTTAGAGGCTGCTTGGCTGCTTGCCTTCACCTTGTCACTTTTGTCTCTTGGTTATGCTTCTGGGAACCAGGGTGAAACCACTAGCAAATCCTCCCATGGCTTTCTCCCAGTCCTGTAAACGGAAATGAAAAATCAGCTGCGCAGATTCAGAAACCCACACTGCCATTCCTGAGACCAGCCAGAAGAGGGCCCTCTTCCCCTATCCAATTTTTCAGTACAGGTTGGCTTTTCCATTCAAAAAAAGTAAAAATAAAAAATGCTGTTGCGTTTTTTTAAAAAATAAATATTTGAGCCTGCACGAGGGAAATTTGAGTCTGCATCTTGTTTAATTTGTTTATTTAAATTAATTGTCTGTTGGAACGAAGATGAGTTACAGCTCTTTTAGAACAGGGTGTTTGTTTAAGATTAAATTAGTTCAAGCCGGGGGTTTGACTCTGAATCCCTAGAGGTTATGGTGTGGAGTCATGAATGGCTAGAAGGGCGAAACAAATCGAGCCTGAAATCCGCCGAGGAGAAAAAACAGCTAAACTGAAGCTGCCCTATTTTGGGCACATCCAGTGTGGAGTCACAAATGGCTAGAAGGGCGAAATAAATCGAGCCTGAAATCCGTCGAGGAGCAAAAACGGCTGAACTGAAGCTGCCCTATTTTGGGCACATCACAAAAGAGAGAAAGACTCACTGGAAAAGGCCATCATGCCAGGCAAGGTGGAAAGGCAGCAGGAAAAGAGGAAGAGCAGACGTGAGATAGATTGACTCGCTAAAGGAAGCCACGGCTTTTGAGTTTGCAAGAGCTGAGCAGGGCTGCAAAGATGGGATCTTTTGGGAGTCGGTTAAGTTAGAAGCAATGTGGTGGTGCAAAATACTCCCCTGCTCGTGGAGGGGGATCCAGGAAGAATGAGAACCAGGAATAAACCTGTTGAAAGCTTGAAGGCTCTTCCTAGAAGTGCCATAGGGAGGGCGCCACCCACCGGCGGCTTTTGCTTGCCTTTTTGTGTAACACTACAAAGATCTCTCACACCCACAAAGAATCTTAGCAACCACTGATGGTCCGTCGCCAGGCAGGACCTTTTCCTGTTTCTGTTACTTCTGTCACCCTCCCCCTTAGGCGAGGTGGCATCCGCGTCTCTCCGCTGGGGTGACAGTCCGCGTACCCAAACAGAAAAGCCACAAGCCACAAAAACGTGCAACTTTCAGTGCTTGCTGAGGCCACCACACCTCCAACTGAGGGTTCGAGCCTCCGTCCCCATCATAGGACTTTATATCCATTCATTTCAATTATTTTTCTTTCTTTCTTTTTGCTGCAACCCAATAACCCAAATCCTCCCCAGATATACCAAGGCGGTGGGTGGGTGTGGGAATCCTGCGGGATCTCCTTCTGAGTACGTACTTTGGGACGGGCTTGCAATGTAAGGATTCCTCCACGTGCCAGGCCACTTATGGAACATCTTCTTCATTCCATGGCAGAAAACCCAGGAAGCCTCTCCATCTGAGGTCCATGGGGGCACATGGTTCTTGCTGTTGTTGATGATGATGATGACGATGATGTTTTTAAGATGGAGGCTTGCGGCTTTGAGGGGAGTGGGCTAGGAAATCAGCTCCAGATTTTAGTCTGAGTTGTGCAAGAGCAAATCATGGCGCTGAACCTGATTTGCCAAACCGGGTCAACAACTTTGAGAGTTTCTATAAAATACAGACTAAACCTCAGCGTAGATTTACTGACTTTGGAGCCGGCAGTTGTTGTGGTTCTTAACATCTCCATCTGCAACCTACAATGTGAGGCTACTGGGACGTGGACATTCCCTGTCCACTCCTGGTTGCCAGAAATTTGCAGCTTCCTGACCTCTTCATGAGGTTTAAGAAGGAGTCTCTGTGTCTCTGTGTTGGCTTCTCTGGCATCTGAAACCAGAGAAACTGGGTGCTCCCTTCTTAATAATAATCATCATCAACAAGTCAATTCTAATTTATTTATTTATTTATTTATTTATTTATTTATTTATTTATTTATTTATTTATTTATTTATTTATTTCCGGACAGGGGACAGATTGTAATTGTCTCCAGGGTGGAAGGGATGGTCACTCTCGAATTGGCCTTCTCAGCCACACTAGACGCTGTTCCAAGTCCTCCATACAGAGCACGTTACCATAGTCTTTCGAGACTGAAGGATGGCTAACAATATTTATTTATTTGTTTGTTTGTTTGTTTGTTTGTTTGTTTGTTTGTTTGTTTGTTTGTTTGTTTGTTTGTTTAATTTTTATGCCGCCCACACTACCCAAAGGTCTCTGGGCGGCTTGTACCATAGTCTTTCGAGACTGAAGGATGGCTAACAATATTTATTTATTTGTTTGTTTGTTTGTTTGTTTGTTTGTTTGTTTGTTTGTTTGTTTGTTTGTTTGTTTGTTTAATTTTTATGCCGCCCACACTACCCAAAGGTCTCTGGGCGGCTTACAACATTTAAAATACAATAAAATTTAGAACAATTAAAATATATATAAAAATTGCCATTGGACCCACAGCTAATATTATGGTGATCCCGTCCAGGCTTTTCTAGGTAGAGAGTACTCAGAAGTGTTTTCCCCTTGCCTTCTTCTGGGGGAGCCCCTGGCACCACCGTTCCATATGCCCAAGGCCACCCAGGCTGGCTCTCCTCACAGGAGGCACTGCGGAGGAATCAAACTCCTAACCACTGGCTCTGCGGCCAGAGACCTAAACCACGGAGCCAGCCAGCCCTTTACCTGAGGCTTTATGTGCACAGCAAGGAGGTGGTTTCTGCAACATGCCTCCTTTGCCCACAGAACAGAAACGCACAATGAGTGCAGGAGAATGTGCCCCCCCCCCCAGAAGGACAAGGTGGGGTAAGCTGGACCCTGAACAAATCTGGGCGCACATTGGTATCTCCTCCTTCCTCGCTCATCTTTTGCTGTCAGGAGATCAAAAGCTGCCACTTGCTTTTTTCTCTCTCCACGACCTGCAGTTTAGTCTAACGCTCAAAGCTGGACAACCATTCAGTTCATCTTTGTGATGGCTCATGGAGAAGTACCAGACACGGTTTATGAAACTGACTGATAACAAGAGCACACCGTCCGTATCAGATGCTTTTTAACGGTGTGGTGGGTGACTGAAAAGGGAAGGGCAAGCTTCTGAGGTCCTCTCGGTGGCAGGGCCAGAGAAGAACAACAGAGGGCAAAGGGGAGAACTCGGGAATCTGAATTTCCCACCTAAATGATGGTTGTTGTTGTTATTGTGGTGTGAATGTGGTCCCTGGCTTATGTTGGATTTATAAAGCCCTAAATGGCTTGGCTCCAAGTTCTCTCGAGCAGTGGCCCCCAACCGTGGGCCTCCAGATGTTCTTGGACTACAACTCCCAGAAGCCTTCACCACCACTTCTGCTGGCCAGGATTTCTGGGAGTTGAAGTCCAAGAACATCTGGAGGCCCAAGGTTGGGGACC